CTGCCCGCGCGCGCCACCGCGAGCGCGAGCGCGCGATCGCCACCAACCACGCCAACTGGACCCGCCCGGTCGCCGACGCGGCCGGCTTTGCCGCCTTTTGCGACGGCTTCGAGCTGCTCGCGCACACGGAGAGGATAGAGGCGCTGCTGCGCGAGCAGCCGCCGCTGCGGGCGACGCACCAGGCCCTGGTCCCGGCGGTCCTCTCCTACCGTGTGTTTTGGGAGCGGTACTTTTACGAGGTGGAGCTGCTGCAGCGCCAGGTGCTACTGCGCCTGCGAGGGCCGGGGGCGCCGCCGCTCGTCCCTTCCCTCCGCCCTCCCGCTCTCCTCCCCTGCAACGCTCCTCCCCTGCATCGCTCCTGCAACGCTCCTCCCCTCCTCTCCCCGCGGCGCCCCAGACGCGCGCCTGCCCCGCGTCGGCAGGAGAAGAAGCGGCAGGCGCTGCTTCGCCCGCCGTCAAAGGCTCAGCCCGCACCGCAGCTCTCCTGTCCATGACACGTCCATGACACGTCCGGGACATGTCCGCAGGCGCAGCCCGCACCGCAGCTCTCCTCTTGGGGCGAGGACGACCCGTTCGCCTCGTGGTGTGGTGCACGTAGGATGCAACCCACACTCTCGTGGGACGACCACATCGCCTGCACGTCACGACCCTTAGCCCTTCACACCTGCCTCTGCGCCTCTTCACACCTGCCGCTGCGCCTCTTCACACCTGCCGCTGCGCCTCTTCACACCTGCCGCTGCGCCTCTTCACACCTGCCGCTGCGCCTCTTCACACCTGCCTCTGCGCCTCTTCACACCTGCCTCTGCGCCTCTTCACACCTGCCTCTGCGCCTCTTCACACCTGCCCCTGCGCCTCTTCGCACCTGCCTCTGCGCCTCTTCACACCTGCCTCTGCGCCTCTTCACACCTGCCTCTGCGCCTCTTCACACCTGCCCCTCTGTCTCCAAGGTCCGACGAGCCCGCACCGCGCACAAAGCAGCCCGCCAAGCTGCCCGCACCGCTGCCGAAGAGGGCTCCGCCCGCCAAACCTTCTCCGTCGCCCGTCCCTCTCCCTCTCCCTCTCCCGCCCGCGCCCGCGCCCGTGGCGAGGAGCGGGCTCGACCCGATAGCTGCGACGGCGGCGGTCAGCAGCCGAGCAGCAGCCTCCACCGAGCCGCACGGCCAGCCTGCCCGCCCGCTGCCGCGCCGCTCTCTCGGCCGAGCCGAGCCGGCGGCGCAGGGCTATGAGGCCGCCCCACCTGCTACGGGCGGCGCGGCGGCGGCGGCGGCGCCGGCGGCGGCGGCGGCGGCGGCGGCGGCGGCGGGAGGAGGAGGAGCCTTAGGAGGGGCGGCTGTCGGCGCGGCGGCTGCAGCGGCCAGGCAGGCCGGCGAGGAGGGCGCGAAGGGAGGAGGGGTGCCGCCGCAGGGCGAGCGGGCGGGCGGCGAGCGGGCGGCGGCGCGCGCAGCGCTGGAGCGGCGCGAGGCCCCTCTGCTGCGGGGCGAGGAGTGAGCAGGGTCGGGGTGGAGTTGGTAGGCGAGGAGCCCCAGCACAAGGCCGGGCGGGAAGAAGGCGCACGGCCCCCTTGCCCTCGACTCGTCGGCCGCGCAACATATTGGAATGTAAAGGGCAAGGAGAAGAGCAGGGTCTGCTCACTCTTACATAGGCGCAGGCGCGCTCCTCCGCCGCGAATGAATGAATTATGAGGAATGAAAACAGTACATGATTGACTAGGCGCATTCCTCCGCCGCGTCGACCGTCTCGGAACGACCTCTCGCTCGCCCCGCACCCCTCCCGGAACCGTCCACGAGCCTTCTCTCGGAGCTTTGCTGTAGGACGACTTCTCGCTCGCCTCGTCCGCGTCGCTCATCGACCCCCCGTCCGAGGTACACCCCCGTCCGAGATGCGCCGAGAGAGGGG